CAGCCAGCTCAAATGCAGGAAACCAGCAACACCATTCAAAGATAAACAGAATATTACGATTGAGATTGAGCTTACTCTCTCTCTATCTCTCACTCTCTCTCTCTCTCTCTCTCTCTCTCTCTCTCTCTCTCTCTCTCTCTGCAATCAAATGAGGGGAATGACGACAGCGACGCCGATGATGACCACTTTGTTTGTCGATTTATCGCTTCGACGATCGATTCGCCCCCTGCTTTTTTGTGTTATGATTGCTTGCATGGAAGGTGAAAAATGGAAATCGTACTTGTTGTACTAGTGTGTTTTTGTTTAAATTAAAGTGCTTCAATTAAGATATCAATAAAACCATCAAATTGATTAAATTGACGAACCAACAACAAAAGAGGAAAACTAAGGCACGAACAACAGATTATAACATCGAAACGGATTTCTTTCTTTTTGTTTTCGCTGTGGGTCAGGGGAAAATGGAAAACCGACCACACGACTGACAATACACAAATGACCATTGTAATTAGATAATAATTGCGTTTTACATTTCTTTTCAATGGTCGATGCACCACCTAGAAATCAACGTACGTGCGACACTTTTTTGTGTGATTTCAGCGACACATCGCTCGCTCGTGTTTTTCACGATGTCGATCACACAGACGAACCAAAGGAAATTAAATTAATTAACTGATAAGTAAAAGGCAACAACGAAATGGAGGGGGATGGAATTGACCGTGAAACACAACAGCGAAAGCAATCAAATCGAAATGATTCAATTGCATTTTTTGGTCGGTTTGATCGAAAAAAAGATTTTCATTTTGATTGATGTAACACTTATTAGGAGTTGGAATGAACGAAGTTTATGCGTGTCATCCCATTTTAATATTTATGGCCAGTTGCTCCTCTTTGTCTTTGATTCCCATGGCTAGTTGCTTCTCTTTGCTTTTCGATTCTTTGCCATTTTGGTCCTTTTTTACTTTTGGATTCTTTGGTAAATACATCGGCATTTGTTTTTTTTTCATGGAATTTTTGAGAAATTTAAGGAATACGACGAATTCTAATGCTTGACCAGGGAAAAATGTATACAATAAATCGTTTTGAATTGAAGTTATCTACGGTTTTAATTTTTAGAAAAGATTTAGAATGGGATTTTGAAAGAGAAATGTTTTTCAAGCTAGAAAAATCGGCCAAACACATTTTAAGCTCTTAAAACTGATAGAAACTGTGCAAAAAAATAGAAAAACCGCTAATTTCGATGAAAATTTACCAAATCAATGATCATTTCGATCATTTGATGATTTAAAATTCCAAAAGCCTGGTCAAAACATTTGAATTTTATGAGAAAATGTTCGAAAAAGTCCGTTAAAAAAATTAAAAATTCCGATTTCATTCATCGCGGAAAGTTCGTTACATTGGCATACCAATTAGGAAGCGCGTCATTTGTTGAAGATCATGAGCGCGCGTGTGAACCGTTCCGATGATTGAAATGAGGGTGGAAGTAATAAATTTAGTGCATGTTTTTAACGTGTGGACGCGTTTTTCGAATCACTAAGGGCATTCAGATGTGTAAGTATAAGGGTAATAAGCGAAGCACACGCAACGTTTTACACATTATTTCCCATATGTGGTGGAAATCTTCACATGGCCACCGATGGGAACACACAAAATATGGGGTGGCTTTGAAAAGGTGTATAAATAATCTTTTAAGCAAAAAAGCACATCGTTTTTTATGGTTGTGTGACAATTGGTTAGATTGTCGTAAAGATAGTGGCGTATTTAAAACAGGAAGAAACGGTTTTAATGAGTGAAAATGATTCCGATTTAGATTATTCAACTGAAAATTACGAGTACTGGACAATGCCGCCAATTCAATTACAATGAATCACTTCAATTTGATATCATTTAGCTTTTGTTTTGATTCATATTTTTTTTTTGGTTTGAATTGTTTGTGAAACAAAAGTTCATTTGCTTTTTTTCCATCATTGAATTGTTCTTTGATTGAATACACAGCGGCGACACTTTTCCTCTGCGCTTCCTGTTCTATTGTCATCGATTCGAAAACAAAGAAAAGAGTCAGGCGTTTGGAGAAAAAATCAAATCAATTCACATATGGTACAGACGCCAGAACTCACCAAAAAAGATGTAACGATGGTAAACAAAGTGTACCGATTGAAAATTGAAAGTGTTGCATTGTTGCATTTCCTTAAATTCTCTCTCTCTTTCTCTCTGTCTCTCCATTTGTTTCGTCTTGCTTCATTAGATGTTCCTTCTGTTCCTTTTTTTTTTTCATTCGGAAATCTCTCTTAATTATGTTGCTTATTGTTTGAAGAAGAAAAAAATTGTCTCACTTCCAAATGTTGTGGTTTGTTTGTCTATCCGTGTCTCTCACTCTCTGTTTTCTTCTGATTTGATGTCCTTTTATTTGCTCTTCTTGAACAATGAATCAAAAATGTTAATATGCATTGTGTGCATCACGGAAGCCGCGCTTGCGACGATCACAAACACATTTTCATGACAATTGATCGACGCGACCGACACAATTGGCTCTGGCATCGAGAGAGCTGAAAAGAATCGTCACATCGGCAAAAACTGTGTCGTCGTCGTGCATATTGAAACATCCAACAAATGAATGAACAATACACCACCCGAAAGCGGTCATTCAATTCTTGACTCATTTCGGTCGCATCACGATCGACGCACAATGATTTTTCAAAATGCTACCATTCCCTTCGTTTGTTTATTTTTCCACCGATTTTTCGTGCACCTTTTCTCGTTGTTGTCTCAGTTTCTCGAAAAGAATGAATAGATTTTCGACTTGGACATTGCACTGCCTATGTGATGTGCCTCCTCGCTCAATTGAAATGTAAATCGTATTGCAGTGGAAAAACACATTCGGTGTGTTGTATCTCTTCCGCGCTCGCGCGCGCGCACAGAAAAACAATGCTACGCAAATATTTGTCGATATGGTACAGCACGGTATCAATGGAATGAGCTGAATTTTGTCGTTCGAAAACACAGAGAATGAGACCGGAACTAAGCGATCGGAACACAAACAACTAATTGATATTCTGTAAATGATCTACGATGCTCATACTCACAACGCATCCGATCTTTAGCTTCGAACACATTATGCCAAATGCTAAAACTGAAACGGTTTTTTTTCTTCTTCTTCATTTTCTTTCATTCTGTGTATGATTTTTAATATTTACGCAAAAAAAAAACAGCAGAAAACACTGACCACACTTTCTCTATCGTCAACACACTGGCCACAAAAACACAAGTTGGCAAATGCAACAACCAGACTGTTTCACTCTCAAAATCAACATTTGCATCCAGCCATTGGAAATGACCGGAAATATTTTCGCTAAAACTTTCATTTGCCAAATATTGATTCTTTGCAATTGATCCAATTTCGGTAATTAACACAACGGATGGTTGGGTATGTGTGTGTGTGTGTGTGTGTCGGTGTCGGTGTATATTTGAGCACATTTTCGATTTTTTCTGCTTTTGCTTCTCGTTCTGTCTGATGAGACGTTGCTCTATGACAATTGAATTAAATTCAAAGCAAAAAAACAATCGAACAGAATTTAACGAAGGAGAAGAAGAATTCGAAGAATCAAAAGTGAAACCAAAACTTCGCAAGAGTTTCACAAACATTCAATTTGTTTATTGTTTTTCGATGTTGTTCTTGAAATCAGCGAAATGAAATCAAAAGCTATAATCAAAATCGAAATTGTTTATTTTTTGCAAGATCGTCGAATGACTCACTTTCGTTTTCGGCCAAAAAAATGAGTTTCGGTTGCAACGAACAAAAAAATTCTCGGAAGTTTGTAAAAAAAGAAACGAGAAGTTATTGATCGAAACTATAAACTATAAATTGTTGCCGTGTAGCCCACATTGAGAGAAAGAGTGAGCGGCTGCAAGTGCAGTGCTCGTCTTCTTCGGAGCGCGCAATTAACTCTCAGCAATTTTTTTTGTGTGCATATCTGTTGTACGGAGGGATGTCGCACGTGCGCGATTTTTATGACAGCTTTTAACGCAATATTGTGGTCGGACGCAATAACGAACGAAAAAAAAAATCAAAGCTGCTTTGGTTTTCTGTGGTTTGTTCGGCTCGAGCCAAATGCTTATCAAAATTCAATCGTGAAAAACAACAAAATGCACAAATTCCAGATTATTAAACATAAAATCGGCCACAGAGAGAGAAATACACACAGAAATGAAAGAAGAAAAAAAAACGACAGAAAAACTGACTCTTATGAACGACACGAGACACACGAACTGAGAGCACACACACCAAAAACGAATGGAATAAGAAGAAGAAGAAGAAGAAGAAGAAAAAAATTGGGAAAAAATTGATTGTGGCAGGTGGTTTAATCTCTTTTGAACAAACCGTTTTGAGTTCTTTCTCCGCATTTTTCTCTCTCCTTGACCAAATCGTCCAACAGCTTGGCCGTTTTGCTCTGCTGCTCGATCTCTTTCTTTCGCTCGTGCGCGCGTGCCTCTTGCCGCCTTTTTTCTGTCTTTCTCGTTATTGGTCTTCTTAAGTGTGCATTTTAATTTCCGAAATTAATGGAATTCATCGAATGCAGAGTTTCTGGGTGAAAATCGGCCAGTGTCAAAAAACCAAGCAAAAAAAACATACATTCGAACCACAGACATAGAAACGAGATTTCAATCAATATAATCTTTGGCCAATTTCATACGGGGTTGATAATTGAATATCTCTTCCGGGAAGAGGAACCGAATACATTGGAAAGAAAAAATTTAAACAACCTAACGCATGCAAATCAATTTCGGAGTGCTCAAAAGAATAACGAAGAAGAAACAAGATGAAACGCTTTAATTAATTGGAGCAAATGAATGGAAATGAAAACAAATGTCCCGTCGGCACAATCATTTGAATGTAGCGCCGCTCCGCTGATTTCGCTTAACTGTGGCACAGATCACATGATTTTTGTTGGTTTTTCAGTTGGATTTGTGAATAATTTGGTGTTTGGTTTGGTTGCAAGACTTACCACTGATTTTGATTCGTTGGTTTGGATGATCCAATGATTGTTTTTGATAATTTCGATGCCGGTGATATTCGCTGAGTCCGTAATAAACAGCCGGGTCGGTCTATCTTCCGTCGCTGATCGTTCCCGTTATAACGTTTTTTTTTCTCGCTTGATTCGATGGAAAACTTTCTCGGCCGGCAAATGATCGAAGTTTTAGTTTAATTCTTGTTCGTTCTTATTGTCTACTCACAATTCATCACTAGGATCGTTCGCTGTTTTAGTCAATCGCAAACCGAATTTAAGTTTAGGTAAATTTTCTTTTCGATCACAATTCAACAAATTGAAATTTGTTTGTCACTTTTGTACGAGCAATTGTTCCTCGATTTATTTTCGACACTATTTTTGTTTTTCTTCGATCCAACACTATCGATGAATATCACACGTTGATTTGATCCCTTGGCGATGATCTTCGACAAAAGTCAACTAAACACACTTGAGTTTTGCGGAAGAAATTTTAATTGTTTTTTTCTCGTTTCGTTTAATTTAAATATTGTGTTGATCGTTTAGAAATGATGAGTGCTTTTGATAGTGATAGAGAACCAGAGAAGAGCATACAACTATATATTTTTTTCATTTGGGAAAAAAGAACGACCGTCTGCTTTGGTGTCTCGCACCTGACTGAATTTTGAAACGGAGCTGCACGGCAGAAGCACACATCACATTGTTGTTTTATTTTTTGTTGTTGTCTTCTCTTCTTCTTCTTCTTCTTCTTCTTCTTCTTCTTCTTCTTCTTCTCTACACTAAGCATAAACACTGAGAGAGAACGGCGCGCAAGAGAGCCCAAAGCATTCACATAACATACTTAATACACATTGTGTGCGGATTGGATCACAACACATAGTAAGCACCAACAACAGAAGTTAACAGCCGTGCATGACGAACATAGGTACATACACACAATAAAAAAACAACAATAACAAGCCCAAGCACACCAAAAAGGATCGTTACACACATCGAGACACACGACGAACACCAACAGGAATCGCTCAATCGGGATACTGTTACGTTTTCATTTTTTACAGTACCTTTTTGGTTTTTCGCTGTGCTTATTTCATCCGATGCGCGACACCATGCACAACATTAAAATAAACCACGCATACATCGAATGCAATCGAAGTTGGAACCCATCAAGAGACAGAGAAACAAACGGTCGGGCTTCTCATTCATTCACGCTTGTATTGGCGCGTGTTTACATATTGAAATGGTGTTTTTTGTTTGTCTCTGAAATGTCAAAGCCACGAATAACACGATCATCGTTTTGCATTTTGATTTTTTTCTCTTGCACTCCTTGCCGTTTTTTCAATGCTCAATTTGACACCTTTTCACTGATCAGATAGATGATATTCTTGCATAAAATGACGTTTTTTTCCGTAGATTTTTTTTCCTTCCAAATTGATTCGTCTCTTTGATGGCGTATTTGATGACGATAGCATTGAAACCATTTAGCCGAAAGGATTTTCTCAGATTTCGTTGTTGTTGCTCATATTTCTAACCGAAAAAAGTTCAACGGAACCTGAGCAAACATAATAAAGTGTTAAATATAAACTCCTCTCATTTCTATCTTTGCAAATATTTATTTAATTATTTATTAATTGAATTAACAGCGATTTCAATGGAAATTCGAATTATTATTAGATGGGTCTGAATATATGGGCGCAAAAAATGATTTAGATTTGAAATTTATTCATGAACTATAAATTAAAAATCTAAGTCGCTTTCCGCATTGTGATTGAATGGAAATTTGGAAAAACATTGGTTTTTGATCTTCATTGGATGACTCGCTTCATCTTAAGCAAACTAAGGATAATTAATAAGAATATGAACAATCTATGTGTATCTATTTGGAGTTTGAAATGAGTTTAGATGAATGAAGCCAAATTTCCCGAATTGCTAAAAATTCAACCTCATAAAAGTGAAGAAAAAAACTTGAATCAACGTTTGTTCATCAACGTTCAAATGTTTAAAAAAACGAAATATATATTTCAACGACAATATTTCATTCATAAATGCTGAGGGATTCACGCCAAATTTTATTTAGCAAAATCTATTTGTATTATTTAAATCATGTAAAATTCACGCTAGATTTCAAATATTTTGTATTATTTCCCGAATGCGTTGTTATTGTTCATATTCACCTTGAACAATATGTTCTGGAAGTGGGTTTTGGTGGATCCTCAGGATCGTTCAAAACTGATCCCGGTTCTGGAAGTGGGTTTTGGTGGATCTTCAGGATGGATCAGACTGGGTTTGACAATGCCCTGGTCCATCCTGAGGATCCACTTCCAGAACCAGGAGCGGTTTTGAACAATCCTGAGCATCCACCAAAACCCACTTCCAGAATTTTTGAAGCGATAATGACGTCAACAGATTAGACATGGTTCTGCTGACAGTCGGTTTATTGAACAAAATTGAAATTATGCATACATATCTGTTTAATATGTTGAAACATAAACAAATTCATATTATTTGTTCATATTTTAAATATGGAAATTGGCGTGAGTCCCCTAGCATAAATGTTCGTATTTGTGTCGGTTCAAAGGTATCGCACTGGAAGATTTTGTCAAAATCTCGAGTAAACCAAAGTTCACCGCATATAAAAAGTGAACCTTTGATCAAATCAATCGATTTAAGGATCGAGTAAAAACTTTGATCAGAAAAATGGAACCGGCCAAAAAGTATGAATGTCAAAAAGTGCGTAAACTGAAGTGGTGTGTGTGTGTGTGTGTGTATTTGTTTGAGTGGTAAAAACAACAGCAACAAAATTGTTATCAATGGTTTGTAAGGCCACACTTGTGAATGAATATACGAATACTATCGGTATTGGGGCATGTGTAGTTTTATGGTGTGTCTGTCGCCATGCGGATTATCTAAAAATCACATGCACAAAAGGAAATGTTCATAAAATCATAAAGAGCTCAAAGGTTCGTTTCCCGTTTCTTGTGTGTCTGTCTCTGGTGAAATGCGAAAAAATTGACTTATTCGGGAAATTCCCGGGCACGCTTTTGCCATCAAACAAAACACCGAATTCGATTTGTGTATCTGTGGAGCATATTACTCAAGACAATAGACTAGTTAAGTATCCGGAGTCAATAAAACAATGGTTTCATTCGGGGCAAGTGGGAATGAGCGCAAGAAAAGTCATAAGTACCTCTGTGTGTGTGTGTGTGTGTGTGTGTGCAATGAAATATTGTTTTTTTTATGAATATAACAGGAAGTGTCGTCCGAGTATTGATGCTGACTCCAGCGACTGTGTATTGACTGTAAATATGCATTCAATTGAAGCGATGGCAAACCAAGAGCCAAGCGAGAAACAAAAATAGACAAAGCACACGGTGTGTCGCATGAATGAGAGTTTGTCTGATTACATCACAAATAAACACAACTATACGAACAATATCCATGGTAATATACCTGCTTTGATGTATGTGGTTCGGTTTCATTTCGGCGTATCTTTTGGTTTTTCCCAATGAAATGTTTGTCGGTATCGCTTTCCACGTCTTTTTTTTCCATGTGTGTGTGTTGAGAGAGTGTGATAACAAACGATTGTGAAACAATTGAACGAAAAAGGAGAAAAACGATGAAAATGTCCTCGCAAGTAAAAAAATGTCCATCATATTAGCCGAAGAATTTCTGCATTAAAGCAAAATGGTCATCGGTATAAGCGAATCAGGCAAAGGACCTGAAAAGGATTAACTGTGAATTTGGTGCAAAATGTCGGAACAAAACGAATGGTCCAGAAAACTCAACTAGTATCTCGGATATTGTTTCCTGTTATTAAGCGATAAGACAACACACTTGATCGGATTATCCGCACTAATGACATCCCAAGAACTGAGACACAGAGAAATTTAGGAAGAAAAACATTTATTTTCTATGGCATTTCCATACGTGTAAACAAATTATTATCACCTTAACTTCCGATTCTCTTCCCTTTTGTTCGTCCAACTGACACAGTCTTACGATTTTGTTTAACAAAATGCAAACGATTTGCATGTCAGGTCAAATGTATTGGTACGACCGGTTGACATGCGAGAATCGATGAATTGCATTCGGTTTCAATGGAAAAAAAAAGAATCAAAAGAATGCCCGGAGAAGTGCGAAAAAGAAAACAGAACTTTTAAGCCGTTGCCGGTGTAAATTTGTGAGATTCAATCCAATTAAGACGCATTTCAATGTAAATCGGGTGGAATGTTCGTCGACTCGAACAAAATGACATTCGGCCGACATTGGCTGCCGGGCCCGAGCCTACTCATCGTTTTGATGGCATCACCGCATCGCAATGCATTTTAAGATCGGCTCCTTTGCCGAATCGACCTCGTGTGAACCCTTAATCACACACTTCGCACCACGATTCGTTTCAATTCGGTTTTTTTCTCACAATATCGAAACAGATTTCCATTTCGGCACACACTGCAACTGCCAACCGACCACACACATTTTTGATCACCACTCTGTCGTACAATTCACACACTCGAATTTCGTTGCCCTTTTTTCTCTCTTGTGTGTCGATGCCGAATCGATCTTGTTTTCTCTTCTTCTTTTTTTCTTGTCATGATTCGTTTGTTTGATATCATGTCTTGTCTTGTTTTCGATGCTTGGAATTTTCTTTTGTTGCTCTGTCACTTTCTTGTCAAACAGATGAAACAAATTTATTATTAATAATACACATGTTCTTGTTGTTGTCATTCGGCTGTTTTGTTTGATTGTCTCCGCGAACGAGATGCGTACAAAATTCAACAAGTATCCCAGCTATTCATGTCTTATGGGCGATTGCTCGAATCAAAACAAGTGTTCGCACCCGACAATCGAATGAGACTCACAGCAGCCAGCATCCAGATCCAAAAACAGCGGATCAAAAAAAAGATAAATTTATTCGAGAAAGAGAAATAGAGAGAGAAAGAGAAAGATTTCTCTCTCAAAAAAACAGAACCAAATCGAACAAATATTAAATCCAATTCAAATACTCGACATCGTCTACATTTCTCTCATTTTGTGGTAAAAAATAAATCTCAAAATTATGCCACTGGAAATCTGGATGAATCGATCCAATCCAATTTATATTGATGGTGAATGCGGTGCGGTCCTTGGCATGACATTGCTTCGGCGAATGACCGAAGACAAAAAAACGAACAGTTCTGATCAATTCAATACTTGTTACTCTCACCCAATACTAACCAAGTAAGTCTTTCAGAAAGACCGAGCCTTGAGAAAGACATTCCGACTGAATATTCTATCGAAGAGAAAAGTCAAAAAAATATTCGATCAAATTTCGATAGCAAATGTACTATATCGCAAACGCACTCGCAAAAAAGAAATCACAGCGTTATCACTTCGGAAAGTGCTGTCGCTCACGATATTTGCCAGTCACTAAATCCATTCATTCATTCCTACTGAATTCAGTTGTGCTGCCCCACAGGAGGTTTGTCAACTATAGCTCAGTTTGTCAATGTGTACAATAGATTCTACTTTGTTTGATCATCCGAACGATGCGAAGCGGTACGCATCACACACATACACCTAATTCTTATTTAATCAAACAACAACGATTTTGGTTTTATTTGGATTTGAAAATAGAAAAATACGAGTTTGTGAA